AAAAAAAAAAAAAAAAACAAAAAAAAAAAAGAGAAGAAGAGAAGAAGAAGACAGCGGGGTGAGAGGCGGCGAGGAAGGTGAAGAAGAAGAAGGGGATTGGCGAGGAAGAAGTGCCGGCAGCCATAGCTGACCGGGGAGTTGACCGGAGGCGTTGACCGGAGTTGACCAGAGTTGACCGAGGGTCATAGCAGCGTTGACCGGCGTTGACCAGAGTTGACCGAGGGTCATAGCAGCGTTGACCGGCGTTGACCGAGGGTCATAGCAGCGTTGACCGCCGTTGACCAAGGCTGTTGACCAAGGCGTTGACCAAAACTTTGACCAAGCTGGAGTTGGTAACACCTCGCCAAGCCCTTAGCCTGCCCCTTGCCCTATGGATGTGCACCTACCCCTTGGTACTTGCTGAGTACAGTCTGTCTGTCTATTCTTTCTGCATTGAGTCTCTTCTGTCCTAGGTGCTAGAACTCTGTGGATGAAGGATAGGGCCTTGCAGCCAAACCTGCACGGGACTTAGTAGGACTAATCTCTACTCTGGTATCTAGAGACCTGGGCATGAGCGGCGAGCGCTCGTTAAACAACTCGTCTAGCCCAATGACCGGTACTGTCCGGCAGGTCTGCTCAATTTCAGTGTAGAGGGTCCGAACTCTGAGCTGCAGGCTGAAACGGAGGCCGTCTTTAAGTATTGAGGGCCTGTTTGAACCACTCCCCTTCCGGACCGACTAAGGCTGAGGATCTGTGTCTGACGACTCGACTGTCCCGGAGGTCAAACCCTCCCAAGGACCGGTACTGACCGGCGGGCTGCTCGGTGTGGCACAATAGGCTGGAAAGGCTGAGTTGTAGGCTGAAAGCACAGGCAGAACCAAGCTGATCACGTCGTCCTGTCTGCGACGTTAAAGAATTCTTGCGGAGTTACGGGGGATCTCCTTAAATGCCTCCTGATCAGCCACTGGTTCTGTAGTGACAGCCATAGCATAGGTCTAGGCTAGAGATCCTAGTTGACAGGATCCCAGTCAGGATTCTGTGGGTTCTTAGATTGAGTCTATAGGTTTGTCAGTCAGGGGTTAGAGTCTACGTGGTGAGGAGTGGAATCATCGTGATTGTGCACCTATCACCATGGTTGAGACCCGTACTGGGTTAGAGACTAACCCCTACAGCAAGGAGCAGCAAGAGAAGGTGGCCGCCTTAGTGAAAGAAAACAGGGAGAGGAAAGAGCGTGAAAAGCAGGCGAAGTTAAAAGCTATCGCAGATGAGCAGGCGTCGAAGATGAAAGAGATAGAGGAGGAGATGGAGAGGAAGAAGAAGGCTGCGGAAGAAGAAGCGGCAGCAGAAGAGGAGAAGGAAAGAATAAGAATTGAGAGTGGAGAAGGGAGAAGTAGTGGCACGATGAAGAAGGACACAGACGTGGAGATTGAGAAGAAAATCAGTGAGTGGGTTGCTAACTTATCATTGGGAGAAGATGAAGAGGCAGAGTCATATGTGAGGGCAGATGAGAAGGCCGCATTGGCCGCTGAGCTAGCAGCCATGACGGATCCTATGGGAAGGCGAGAAAGGGAGGAGGAGCAGAAGTTGGCATGGAAACTGAGGATGAAGAGGGAGAAGAAGAGGAGCAGAAAGGAAGTGAATAAAATGACCGCAGCAGTAGCAAGGGTGCAGGCGTGCAGAGCGGAGGTGATGGCCCAGCCAGATGATAAGGCCAAGTGGGACAAGGTATTGGGCTACCTGGAGGTTTTGAGCAAGGCCTGGATGGAGGAGCGCCAGGCAAGTTGGAGTCCGGATGTAGCTCTGAGTGCTATGCGGTCCGGATTCAGGGAGTTTGCGCGCGAAATCGTCACCCATATTGGGCGCGAAGTAAAACAGTTGAGAGACAATGTAGGGAAGTTTTGTGAGGGCGCCATTCAGGGTGCCAAAGCTGTAGCCGCTGTAGAGGGAGAGGCCAGACCCCGTAAGGACCCAGTGAAACTTAAGTTCCCAGATGCGTACGGGTGAAAGAAGGAGGAAAACTTTGACAACTGGGAAGCCAGTGTCAATAGTTATATTTACTTACAACACATCCTGATGGAGGAACAAGTCCTCGTGGCCTTCCAGGCCTTCAAAGACGAAGCGACTAGTTTCGCCAGATCTCTTGCGCGTACAGCCGGTTGTGAAAACAACCTGGTTGCATATTCTAAAGTCACCCCCCTCTCTCAGTTCCTCAAGCTCCGTAAGGAGCGATTTGCTGACCCAACGCGAGGTGTCAGAGCCTCAGATAAGTTGCAGACAATCCACTCACGACAATGGAGGAGTGCCAAGGCACTCAAGGGTACCATGGACGACTTGGTAGCCGTCCCGGACCACGGGGTCACTGAGCCCCAACTGGTCCAGTTCTTTTATCGTGCCATCCCAGAGGCCCTACGCGGGCATTTCTTTGACAAGTCTCAGCAGGCCGACATCACTTACGATGCATTGAGTAGAGAAGTCGTCCTGTATGAGTCGAAGTCTATGCCAGTTACCACTTTCTGGCATAAGGACCTGGAGAAGGGGAAGAAGTGGAAGGATCGTACCATCTCAGGCCAAGTCAAGGCCAAGGATCATATGATCCTTACCTTAGAAGAAGGTGGTACTGATGAGGTCCCATACAATCAGATAGAGTGGGGCCTCGAGGATGATGGCAGTGGCGCGGGGCAAGGGAGGTCCTATGCTGCTGTCGCGGCTGAAGGGAGGCCGCAAGGTAGAGGAGGCCAGGGCCAAAGGGGCCAGGCCATGGGAGGCCGAGGACCGGGCGCATAGGGGGTTGGCGGACAGGGAAACCGCCAAGCGGGAGGTAGGGGTCAAGGTCCCCCGTTAAATCGTTAGGGTAACCGGTCCCCACAGCGAGGAGGTGGAAGGGCACCTCAAGGAGGATGGCACCCAGGCTTGCCGCAAGGTAGGCCCTGGGAAGACTTGGGCTTGGACCAGCGATTATGGCAGGAACGCGTGAACATGGGTCAGTGCGTATTCTGTGGTGACCCGGCGCACGTAATTAGATTTTGTCCAAAGTATAGACAGGCCCGTTGGGCTGCTCAGTCTTCAAAAGGCAGCCGCCAGTAGGGGTCGCAACTGCCCCTACTTCCAGGCCATGCGGAGAAGTGAGTGTGCGCGAACAGGACACTCCCAACTCACATGAGCCTATGGCAGAAGTTGCAGGCCCGTGCCTAGATAGTTGTCCAGAGACCGCTTGTGTTAGCGTCTCTTTAGGCACGTCCCTCACAGGTGTGGTGGAAGAGTTAAAGGAGAGGATGCCAGCCTGGGCCAAAATGAAAAAGGAGAGTAAGGGACAGCTGATCTTAGTAGACGTAGAGGTGTTTAGGAGTAGAGTAGGGGCCCTCATAGACTCCGGGGCTACCCGTACTTATATTAGCCGTAGGGCGCTGAAGAAGCTGAGGCTAGGACTAAAAGTCCAGAAATTAGTAGACCCCATAGTCAGTGTCCTCGCAGACAACCGCACGATGCAAGTTGAGGACTACGTAGAGGGAGTCCAGGCGTACTTTCGCCTAGAGAAGAATGGAAAGGTGGAGAAGGTCCTCCACTCTTTGACTCTCCTCGTGCAGGATGACCTCCCTTTTGATATAGTGTTAGGAATGGATTGGGGAGAGGCAGCAGGGGCCACACTTCATTTGAGAGAGCATGAGTGTAGGCTCCCTAGTCCGTCAGACGAGGTTAAGACTGCCCGCTTGTTCCATGTGTCTGGTGTAGATAACACCTTGGCACATTGCTGTCTCAGTGCTCCCGCGTTTGCGCGAGTAGTAAAGAAGGAGCGGTTAGAAGACCAGGTCTTTGTAGTTTATGTTAGACCTGTCACTGAGGCCCAGGAAAAGGATAGTTCCACAGATCCAACAATTGCCAAGCTGCTAAAAGAATTCAAAGACTTGACTGAGTCGCCGACAGGAGTAGTGTCGCGACCCATCCAGCATAGGATAGAGATAGAGCCTGGCAGTAGAACTCCTAAGGGTGCAGTCTACAGGATGTCCCCTAGAGAGTTAGAGGAGCTTCACAAGCAATTAGACGAACTCCTTGAGAAAGGTTGGATCAGGCCCAGTTCGTCTCCTTTTGGAGCACCAGTTTTGTTTGTCCCCAAGAAGGAAGGAGAGCTTCGTATGTGTATAGACTATAGGGGTTTGAATGCGATCACAGTGAAGAATGCTGAGCCGCTGCCCAGGATAGACGATCTTTTAGATCGGGTGCAGGGTTGTAAGTATTTCTCTAAGATAGACTTAAAGTCCGGGTACCATCAGATAGAAGTCCATCCTGACGATCAGTACAAGACTGCGTTCCGGACTAGATACGGTCACTATGAGTTCATAGTGATGCCCTTTGGACTAACCAATGCGCCAGCTACTTTTCAGTGTTGTATGAATGACCTGTTTAGACTGTGGTTAGATAAATTTGTAGTAGTCTACCTAGATGATATCCTAGTCTTTAGTAAGACCCTCCAAGAGCACCAGGGTCATCTGAGGCAGGTCTTGGAGAAGCTTAGAGAGGCTAACTTCAAGATCAACGAAGAAGTGCGAGTGGGCCAAGATGCAAGTCTTGTACTTGGGCCACGTGTTGGACGGAGATGGCATTAAGCCAGAGGACAGCAAGATCGCGGCGATTAGAGATTGGCTGACGCCCCACACATTAACAGAGTTGCGGTCGTTCCTAGGCTTAGCTAACTACTATAGGAAGTTCGTGAGGAACTTCTCCACTATCGCCGCCCCCTTGCGCAGATTGGTAAAGAAAGAGGCAATCTGGCAATGGGATAAAGATTGTACGTCTGCGCTCAAGAAGTTAAAGCGCGCGTTAATAGAATATCCTGTCCTCAAAGTAGCAGATCCGTCCTTGCCATTTGTCGTTACCACGGACGCAAGTCAGTATGGGATAGGCGCCGTGTTGCAGCAAGACGACGACAATGGCTATAGACCCATAGAGTTCATGTCAGCGAGGATGCCCTGTGAGAAGGTCGCTACCTCCATGGACGAGAGAGAACTCTACGCTCTCAGGCAGGCTTTAGACCATTCGAAGCCATATCTGCTTGGGAGGCACTTCAAAGTGTATTCTGACCACGAGACACTTCGTTGGTTAAAGACACAGGCCAAGATGACACCTAAGTTGACTAGGTGGGCCGCAGAGATAGACGAATTTGACTTTGAACTCAAGCCAGTGAAGGGCAAATACAACGTAGTTGCGGATGCTCTGAGTAGGAGATCAGACTACTTTGGAGCCGTAGTACACTATCTGGATATAGGGAGAGACCTGCAGGAGAAAGTGAAGCAAGCATATGCACAGGACCCTATCTATAGCGACCTCCTAAAGAGAGTTAGGGAGGCCCCAGAGACCGAACCAGATTACCGCACTACAGACAGGTTGCTGTTTGAGAAGACTAATGTGTTTGACCGCCTGTGCGTTCCCAACAGCAAAGAGATTCGTAGTCTGATTCTGGGGGAATCTCACGATACTGAGGAACACTTCGGTTGGCAAAAGACGTTAGCCAATCTGATGCGTGCGTACACATGGCCAGGGATGAAGAACGACTGCATAAAATATGTCCGCAATTGTAAAGTATGCCAGAGGAACAAATCTACTACACGTGCGCCCCTAGGTTTTCTCAGACCCTTGCCTATTCCAGATCAGCCGGAGACTCAGTGTCCATAGACTTCATGGACACGCAAGTCAAGAGCAGACATGGTAAGAGCCAAGTCATGGTCATAGTCGACCGTTTTAGTACGTATGTAGTCTTTGTTCCTTTGTCTGCAGAGGCACGTACAGATTTAGTAATACAGAAGTTCTTTGACTTTTGGGTTAGTGAGAATGGAATCCCATTGTCAATAGTTAGTGATAGAGATAGTCGTTTCACCAGCCAGAACTGGCAAAAACTCATGAGAGTCTACGGATCTAAGTTGTTAATGTCGTCCGGCCGTCACCCAGAGACTAACGGTCAGACAGAACAAATGAATAAGATCCTACAGCAAGTTCTGCGCATGTATATTAGACCAGATCAGATCAACTGGGATGAGATGTTGCCCAAGGTCGCTAGTGCATACAACAACAACGTGCATCTATCCACCTGCCGCACTCCCAACGAGTTGCACAAGTCCTTCACACCGCGCAGACCGTTCGAGGGACTGAGCCGGGATCAAATTCACAAATTGCCGCCCGGTACCAGGGAGTTTGCGATACAGCACGAGAAAGAACTAGCCACTGTTGTTGAAAACCTCAGGAAGGCCCAGCATAGAATGATAGAGCAAGCTAATAAGCACCGCCGCCCGTCGCAGTTTCAGGTAGGCGACTTAGTCTGGGTCAAGGCTAAAGAGTTTGCACCTAAGAAAAACATCTCGCAGAAGCTACTGCCCGCATATAGAGGACCGTGGCCGGTTCTAGAAGTCAAGGGCGGAGAGGATGGACCCTCCTATAGCATTGAGATGCCACCACACATCCACACATACCCGGTGTTTCATGCTTCAAAGCTGTTGTCGTGTGTCACAAGTCAACAGTTCCCTTCMAGAAGATCCATGATCCCCCCGGATATGGATGGAAGTTATGACATTGAAGGCATTGTAGATGAGGAGGTGTTCAGAACAGGAGGTAGAGGTCRTCCCCAGAAACAATATAAGGTCCGTTTTGCCTATCAGGAACCGGAAGACGACCGCTGGTTCACGAAAACAGAACTTCTAGAAACCGCTCCCGATATAGTCAGAGCCTATGAATGTGACAAGAAAGGTAAAGGTCCTGCCTTGGACTGAAATGTTCTCGGAGGACCTCGAATTTAGGACGGCGGGAGTGAAACAGTTTTCACCTTTTAGCAGTAGCCGATGCAGTACCCAGGGTTCGATCCCTAGACCTCACCCTACCCATGCACAGTATCTGTGTAGACCCCGAGAATCAAACCTGTGACCTATGTATTCGTAGGCAGTTGGTAGGCCTGTCGTAGGTCCATAGGCACTAGGGGTTCGATCTGTAGGTCTATAGCGTGGGAGTCTTAGTGAGTTCCGGAAGCTTAGCTGTAGACCTTCTAGAAGGTAGGCAAGTGGGCAAGTGGTCAAGTGGTGAGGCAAGTGGTGGACTAAACCGCAGTGCAGCAGCAGTACAACGTCGGTAGGAT